TCAAAGGAGGCAGTTCAACTGAAGTTAAGAAAATAAAGCTCATTTATAAAAATTTAAAAAAAAAAAAAAGAGACATGCCGTGGAGCTGTAAGTGCAGGCTAGACACATGCAGTGTGACAGGACCAGAAAGGTTAAGCTCTGAACTGATGAGCATAGCTCAGCCAGCTGTAAAGACAGCAAAAGCCTAAAGTGAAGCCATTTCTTTTTGTAATTACAAAGGGAGCAGAAAAAACCCTATCCAATAACTCAAAGACTATCAATTAAGGCATCTCCCTGAAGCTGACAGAGCACACATCCTCAGCGTGCAAGAGCGAGGAAGAGGGTTTCCTTAGTAATGAAGGATTAGGCTAAAGAAACAACTCTTGCTGTCAACTCCACCCATAAGCCCAAGGCAGCAATCCCACAAAGTGATCAGCCATGAGGGCCCTCGGTGTTGTTACAATGATCTGCTTGTTTCTCATTTGGAGGCCACACTTCCATCACTGTTGCAACTCTCAACTCTACTTAATTTCCCTGTGGAGGGAAAAAGAGATCATTACAGAAGTTTCTATAAAAAGTTTGAGAAGTAGCTTCCAATGGACTGACTGTTTTATTTACTTGCCAGTGGACACATCCTTCCTAGTTTTAGGTTACAGGAGGGAAAGGAAGCAGAGATTGTTGTCTGGGTGCTGCCATATTCCACTAGTCCAAAAATTGGACGTGGGAACCAAGTTGAAGGATAGTTCTCTCTGCTGAAGAAGCCAAGCCTCATCAGCATCCTCAGTGAGGCCACACTGGCTTGGACCAAATTGTTAAGTTAATATTCTAAGTGCTCAATTACAGGGATTATTTAAGTAGACTTCAGCTGGCAGATTCAGCTAAAGTACAGCCAGCTTCATGCAGGCAGGATCTGATCAACTAGAGAAAGGAGACACTGCAGTACTTATGCAGCCATAAACTATTTTTTATTCCCCCTCACTTGGAGGAGCATCCTACTGCGTAGCGACAAGGTGCCAGAGAAAGCCACTGAGCAGCAGCTTGAAGCCAGCTGTGCCCCCAGCAGCAAGCACGGCAGTCAGACCAGTGGCAGTGAGCAAGCAGTTGGGTTTTTTTGTTATGATTTCAGAGGGGGTGGCCAGCAGTGCTCCTGCTAGTGCACACTGAAAGCAACAAGCACAAGGGCTAGGCTGCCTACAAGGCAGGTGGCAGAGATCCATGCCTTCGCTTTGAAAGCAAATGTGAAGCAGCATCTCTTCTGCCAGGTCTGACTCCACCATTAGCAAGGAGAATCTCAGGAATTGAGGAGCACCGAGACTCAGTGTAGAAAAAGCTGTGGAGCCCACACCAACTCTCTGTTGCCACCAAACACCAGGTCCCAGATGCTTGCTTCAGCTTCACAACTGGGGATCTGACAACTTCAGGATGAAGTCAGCCAAGAAAGATTCTCAGCAAGGGAAGGGGACAAGATCACCTTACTCCAGGAGGCTGAAACTTGCTCTAGCCAGCAAGGAGTATGTGTTTGGGGGACGTCTTTGCGGAGAAACATACTCCAACTGGTTTTACAAGCCACATCAGGATTAGCAGATGTCTCAAGGGTTAATTAGTTCACCATGCACAGATGGTAGCTGGTAGGGTTTGCAGAGTGGATTAACCTAATTTGTGGTTTGTAATGTACCATGCAAATATCCATTACTAGACTTGCAGCAATTCTGCCCGTATTTTGACTTGAGGAGAAAAAAACCACACAATGGATGCTTGCGTAGAAGTAATGCCTATTTTGAGTGACAAATCAGTTGCTGTTCACTTGGTTAATGCGATCAACAAACTGGAGTCTGAAAAGTAATTCCTTCCCTTTTTGCTACAGAATGTCTTTGGAGACGCAGACGAGACCATTTGTTGTAAGTGTACAGAATATGCCCATGGTAACCACTCCTTACAGTTGTACTGACGTCTCTTTAGCACTGACAGATGGTCATAGAGCAACAATTCAATTGCCTGGAAATATGAAGGCAGCTTTCTGAAGCAGCTCTGCAGTGTGTCAAGTAAGACCCCACAAATCCAAGGTAACAGCACATGTGGCACTTCAGGCCACAGCAAATGCCCATGCCTACGCAGAGCCTCAGTTGCTTCAGTGAAGCTCCAGGTCTCTGAGCTGACTGCAGGTTAAAGCATTTATAATTAGATCATATCCAAGTAAAGGGCCGCATGTTTATATAGCACTTTGCACAAGAGGAAGCCTGGCTCAGGGCTGGCATTCACAGATGCCCCAGATCAGTGCAAGACTCCCTTCTATTTAGCTAAGGACGTGCCACACTATTGCATCTGGTTCAGAAGGTCTCAAATGTTTACAACCAGTATCAGCTGTAGTGATAAATGTTTCCATAGCTCCTATTAAACTCTGAACTTACCCAATTTCTCCCTGCTCTAAGGGGCAAGCACAAGACTAGCTCAACACACGCTCTAGCAAGGCAGAGGTCAGGGTAGAGGTGACATTGGCTGTCAGAGGCATTCCCCAAATGTTTCTGCAATCAGCCACGCTCATGTCATGCCTGCACATGCCTGAGACATGGCAGCTGTGGGATTCCTGCCGGACAGTGTGGGACAGCCGTGCTTGCACCCAAAAGTCTCCTGCCAGCACATCTTTGGTCAGGACAGAAAACGTGTTCACAGATCTGATTTGTTGGGAGGTGCTTGCATTTAGAAGTGCCTATTTGTTTCTTGTTTAAAGACAGAGTAGTATCTGCACCTATGGAGGAAACTACATTTCAAAACTACTCGTTATCTTAAAAGACTCTCACAGCACACCCTGGAAATCTGTGCTTATTTACCCCATCACTTGTTCAAGTGTCATAAAGCTGGTCTTTGTTAGAGGCTGCAACTACCAACTTCCTTGGCATACTCCTTTGCTCGTTGTGTGCACACTCCCACAATATCCAGCTCCAAACAGAAGAAAGCATTCCTCCGCTGCTCTAAAATCAGGCAAGAAGATGACTGAGAACAGAGCCCCTTTATGCAGCTCACTTTGGTCAGAGAGCTGCTTCACATTCCTCTTCGTACAGGGTAAGCGCAGAAAGAGCGTCCCTAAACCCCACTGTTTCCAAGCCCTAGCTGTGTGAGCAGCCAAGCACCAAGAAGCAGAGAAGAGGAAACAGTCCCAAAAGGAGACCTGGCAGCAATGTGGAGGTGGGACAGCCAAGGGAGAGAGCCAGACCTGAGCATCCATCCCTTGCAGGGATGGATGGTCACGCCACTTGGGATGCTCAGGGCAGGACGCCAACAAAGAGCCCAGCAGGACAGCATCCACAAATGGCATCTCAGCTACACTGACTCACCTTAATCCCTCTTCCCCCAATGTCACAGAGGATCAGCTCCAACTTCCCCCCAGAACCACAGGGATGGAAGAGCAACAGTTTCCTCACACTCCCAAAGCAATTCCTCACATCTCTTGCAAGAGTATTGTAACTCCTGTGCATGTCAACTGGTACACTGAGCCCAAAGCTCTCCTGGTTTCCTAATGCTGTTCTAGGTCAGTGCTAAATCAGGTTGCCCCAGAGACTTCAGCAACGTTTTTCAAAGGTCTTCACATGGCCCGAAAGCCCCCAGTGCTCAGGAAGTGGCACTAAGCCAGCAGCTCCCACACTCAGCTCTGATTTCTACTGACTCACTTGGACCTTTATGGTCAGCCCCTCTAGAGAAAGTGCTGTTGCCAATTTAATTCATGGGTCAATGTGAACGAACACTTCAATTTATTATATTTAGGAAGCCCTAGAAGCGCAACCCAGACAGAAACTTTGTAGGAGATTAGGAAGATGAAGTGTGGTCTAGTTTATCATCAGCACCTTGTACCATGCTTGCCTCTTCATTACCACAACCCAGCTCAGAGAAATGGTACCAAAAGTGCTGGCCTGCAAAGGCAACAGCCATTTGATGCACAGGATGTCAGGGTCAAGCAACAGCTTCGCTTTAGTGCATCACTTAGCTTATTACAGGACTGCAGCTTAAAAGCTCTCATAATTAACCAACAAATCAATCTAGGCAGCAACATTCATTGGAGTCCAGTATGTTACATTCATCTTCTCTTCCTTCCCAGAGACTAAGCCATTGCAGTGTTTCTTCATCATCTTAAAAAGCAAGAAGAAAAAAATCCTCCCCTCCCCTGCACGCAGGCCAGAGTTTTCCAGGAGTTGCTATTGGTTTGAAAGGCCTCTCTTTGGATGCCCTGAATGCAATCTGGAGCACCCGAGACTCCAAACAAAGTCAATGAGAGTTGCAGGTGCTCAAGGCTGCTTGGGGAGAAAAAAAAAAAAAAAAAAGAAAAAAAGAGAAAGCCCTGACACATCCAGCTCAGAGCAGCCAAACCCAAAGGCCCATAATTACATGTCCCTATTGAAAACACATCTGTAAAAATCACTAAGAGCTACAAGGGGAGGGGAAAAATTGGATTTATATAGTTTCAAATCAGGGTTTTATAGGACATTTGAATCCAGGATCTTAAAAACAAAACACTGAACGAGAGCCTTTGAGGCAGCCCAAACCCAGACACAGGCACTGAGAACATTTTGCATCAGAAGACTCACCAGAGCCTTTTGGAAAGGCAAAAAAAAAAAAAAAAAAAAAAGATTCAGATCAGACCAGAAAAGCATTCCCTTCCCCTCCGAAAAAGAACCCCAACTCTCAGGCTGCATTTTGACTGTTTGCTCAGGTACAGATTGACTTAAGAAAAAAATAAAATGAAAGAGAGAAATTTAACACAGTTGTCCTCAGACTGAAGAAGGAGCTGTATGAATACAGTCAGAGGAGAGCAGTCATTTTAACTGCAATGCTATATAAGGTGGGTTTCTTCTCCTCTCCAATGCAAAGGAAGAAACTGATGCCTGTCTCCAGCAGGCTTCAGCAATAAAAAGTTAAACTGCTACACAATTTCATGCAACACAAGATAAAGGGAAGGTTAAAAAAGGCAGGGGGGAGAGGGAAAGGTCCTCTCTGTAATCATGCAGTACGTAAAAAGCCTGGTATCTTACCTGATTTTCTCTTTGAAGATCCATAGTCCCTGAAAAAAAGACAACAACAAATAGACATGGTTAGAGCTGGAATCGGTGATGAGCGAACGGGTGCCTCCCAAATTCCACCCATATGCTCAAGAGCTCATCCTGCGCGCTCCCTCCTTTAAAGAGGAGGTCAGGACTGCGAGGCATTGACAGGCAGGGGCCGGGACGGATCCTGAGCAGCACCGGCTCATCAGCAGCAGCAGCTGGGGCTTCTGCAGCACCAGGGGCTCCGGGAGCATGTGATCAACGAGACAGAGCAAACCATCCACCAGCAGCGAGGCAGGGGAGAAGGGTGTCATTTTTTCCCCTTTAAATTGAGCTATTAAATGCACAGCTACTGAATTAACCCCTGATGTTCCCCTGGAGAGGAAAGGGAGTATTAACTGTTTGCTGCAGGGGTGCCGCTGCTACAGGCTTATCTGGCACTGCTCGCAGTCCTCTCCTTTCAGGGGCTAATTAATTTGTGAATAACCTCCAGACCTCTCCTAGTTATCTCTGACAAGCACTTGTCTTCCACAAGGAAAAAAAAAAAAAGGCAACCCCAAACTCTGTCCTTTCTTGGAGGATGGGGAATGCACCCTTACTTTTCTATAGCGCTCTAAGGGGTGCTGGCACCTTTGCTCGTGGCAGAACAGCTGAAAGCTCAGACAGCTGCTGCAGAAGTGGGAAGAAATTACAGAAGGGAGCTTCGAGAACTGATTCAGGGTAAGCAGAACCAAGGACAGGAATGCTTCGCTATGGCTGTGCTTCCTCCCAGCGCTCTCCGGAGCCTCTCCGACCCAGCTCTGAAACACCCTGCACAGGCAGGAGCCCAGGCAATGACAGATCGGGCAGAGACAGCACTGCTGTGCGGGCACAGCGCCCGCAGCACGGTCACACGCCGCGCCCAGCGGCATTAATGTTGGGAAAATCACCCAATGAACCCACTGTAGAGGCAGGCTGTGTTTGCAGGAGTCCCACCAGAGGGGCAGGCAGCAGTGTCTAAATTTTGGGGGGCCAGGCTGTCAGGAGTGGGGCTTTGTCCTTGCAGCATGCTGTGTACTCCAGAGGAATCAGAGAAGGATCATCCCAAACTATTTATTTAATTTCAAGAGAGTTTGGGGGATCATCTGAAGAAACGACATGTGTCTTGAGGGCAGAGGTATACCTACCCATAAATTCTGTTTCTCCCAGCACTTTGCATGCATCCCATGCCTTACACGTCTAGGATTTGCTTCCAACCAGTGATAACTACTTGGGAGTTTTTTGCACCCTCTTTGAATTTTCCAGTGTCATTTCTACTTCAGTTAAATGCTTGTTTTCTCAGCCACGTCTGCAGTTGTATTTGATGTGAAGATGCTACTGCTTATGAATAGGCTGCTTCTTCTACAGAAGTGATATCATATGCAAATATAATGCTTGCTATATGGTGCCCGAAACAGAGATCCCTCAGAATGAGCCACAGAAGGCACAATCCCCAAAATGTAGTCCTCTGCCCCAGCTCCGCTCCCACGCCAGCCTGGAGCTTTGTGGTTGCTGTCAGTACAGCTCTCTTGGCATGTGAAAGTCTGTGTTTGGTCTTGCCCTGAACTGCCTCTCTTCTGACAGCGCTAAAATGGCGAGAAGGTGAAACCCTGCTGAGATCCGCACATGTAATTTGCTTTAACCTAGTATCTCCACTGTGCACATGCTTGATGATCACTTCAATCCCTTCTGCCTGTCCTGGCTTTCTGCAGCGAAGCTCCTGGACCTTCTCAGTACCACAGCTTGCAGCTGGGTTCAGCTGGCATCTCCCTCTGCAGCATGTTGTGTCCCCACCTCCCTCTGTGTTGTGCAGAAAGGCTGCACCCAGCTCTTGCAAATGTTAGCACCCAGAGGTTGAGCTATGCACAACCCCTAGAAGAGAAACACAACCATCCTTCCAGGCTTTGCCAGAAGGCCCTCAGCACACATTTCCAGGGCAATCTCCTACCAGCCAGCCATGCTGGGGATACCCCGCAAGCACCCTAAGAGAGGTCCTAGGTGAACAGAGCACACACAAAAGGGTGAAGACAAGCAGCATTAGATAGAGTTGAACGACCCTTCAGCCTGACTGAAGTTGCAAAAGAAAACCCAACTCCTTTTTGCCACTTAAAAAAAAAAAAAAAATCACCCAATTTACACAATTAGAAATGGGGCATTGATGGATTGGTATGGTTAATAAGCAACCAAAAATGGATCAAGATGTTGCTGAATGTATTTGCCCACCAGATCAGGCCAAAGTTGGTACCCAAGTTTGGAAAGTACAGTAGAAGATGATTTGGCTGTGCTCTTGCTGTGCAATGGCAGCAAATGCCACAAAAGCTCAGAATTCAATCTTCCATCCTGGATGCTCTCCCACATCTTTCAGCCCAATCTCTAGCTGGTTTTAGGGCTTCTGTGAGTGACTGCAGTAAGGTTTTAAATGAGGCTTGTTCTTTTAAAGCATGACTCATCCATGCAATTTAAAGAAGGTAGAGATTAAAAAAAAAGCAAATTTTTGAAACTTTTTTCTTTCTACATGCAGATCATGGGATGACAAGAGATATTACTCCATAAAGAACTTTTTCACTTTTTTTTTTCTGTTCAGTTCTTTATCTGGCTAGCATTTCTTCCACAGCAAATGCACATCATTTATGGAAGTGTACTTGCCTTTAAGCTTCCTCACACAAGCCCTGGAGTGGGCAGACAAGTTCCACATCACACCACTAATGCAAGCACAGAGCACTGTCCTCGATATAATGTGGCAAGCCACATTTCTGGTCAACAGCAAACATGGTGCCAACAGAGGCAGTAACCATTCATGTGGGCCAGGAGCTCTGGTCCAGCGAACCCCATCATTGCTTCTCTCATGGCTTGTGCATGGTGAAAACAAACCTTTAGGTTAGTTTGAAGAGGGAAAAAGCCCCTCACTGTCACTGCAAAGTGTACAGCTGAGCAATTTAGGGTCAGCTACAAGAGGATGAAGCAGCAAGTAGCTCTCAGTGATGTCCCTTTGAGATCAGGAGGGTAAATAGCATCATCAGAGGATCCAGAGTGTATTCAAACTCTTGAAGGCAACTGAACCTACAACTTCTGATCTTAGTTTCTACTCTTAAGATCATCCTTACAGAAAAAATTAAATTATCATTACAGAATATTTATTTGAATCACCACCACTCCCAACTCATGAGGCTCACTCAAAAAAAAAAAAAAAAAAAAAGCCAACAATCAACCTCTCGGGCAAGTTTTCATCTTTTCATTTATTCTTTCTGTAAGTTTTAAAGTAAAGTTTTATCAGGTTCTGATTCTGGAGTTCCTGAAGTCCAGGTACCCCATGTCTCCCTGTCTTGTCACTCTTTTGTACACCTACATTTCACTCATAAAATCAGGACAAAGCAGTATCAAATAAATTTGAGCTTGAAATAAAATCCTCATCTCCCCAGTGACACTCAGAAAGCCAAAACTTGTTTCTCCCAGCAAGGACTGCTGAAACAGAAAGCAAAGAAGGTATAGCAAATAATCTCTCTGGCTGTGTGAAGTGCTCTTTGTATACATACTCTTCTCCTATTTTCTGCTAATGAACAATGCCTGTGTTGCTGCTTTGCAATAGCAGCAGCAAGGAGCCCTGCCTGACTCCATGTTTATTTTTTATGTCCTGTTATTCTACATGTAATTCATTGATGTCTTTTCCCTCTCCCAAGTGATGATCTATAAGGTGAATACTTTTCAGCCTCACTATTTTCAGAAGAGCATTATTAGTGTGAGCCCAAAGTATTGGATTATGTCTCCAAATCAATAAAGGAAATTATTTAATGGTTTCTCTTAACTGTAACAACTTCCAAGTAGAAACTCTGATCTTCTGCAATACAGACTGCACCTGGCACACTGCTAATCATTAAATCAGACAAGAAACCTGGCCTTGCAGAGGAAAAACCCTTCCAAGGAAAGGTACAATGAATGTCACATCGGCAGCTACACGGGGAAGATCACTTTCTCTTCAGCTCTTGCTCTTTTTATCTTTTTATCTTTATATACACACACATTTCCATTCTTCTTCCATTTCTGTATGAGAACAGACACCACCATCCTAATTTCCCTTCCAGCCATAGCTACAAGAATAGCAGTGAAACCAGCGGGTGGAACTAAAAATAGCTCTGGCAGGTCCCTTCTTCATTAGCCAGGATCACTCAATACTGAACAAATGCCTTTCACAAAAATAGCATATTTCTAGCCTTTTTTGTATTAGAATACAGCAATTTTGTCTAAGCCTTCCTGTGGGGCACCACCTTCAGCTGACACTGAACGTCACTACAGGCAGGGAAAGTATTTCCTGCTGCTAACAATATTAAAATATCATTGGTGCCAAGCACGTCACACAAGCTGGACACACTCTTCTTTAATGACAAAGGAGAGGGAGGCTGGATTTCCTTTCTCATCAGCATTACACCAGGATAACATTACTCATTTGAAATCTAGCAATGAACGTGAAAGGAAGATCATGAGCACTGCTATAGAGCTGATTGTCTTGTTATCACATTAAGCTATCCACAGTCAGTCTGGAAATTTGTGAAAGATAAAAATATCTTATGTCATTGAATTTATATGTCACTTGCAATCTAATTTAATTATGAAGGTTATATTAACAATGTTATGGAAAAATTTTATGGCACATCCTTTCTTTAGGGACTGACTTTGCTGCTGTGTTCAGTGAGAGTTAATAAACATTGATGCGTGCATTTGTGTGTTTTCAACTATCTAAATACATACAGATATACACAAACAAGCAGTGGCACAACTGGAAAGTTGTTTAACAAATGCAAGTATCCTGACATTTGTTCAATAAAGCCTAAGAAACGTTCCAAGCGGAGGAGAAGACTGGAGGTGACCAGGTGCATCTGCGATGGACTGTGCCTATCTCTTTAGCCACACTTCTAATTCAGTTTCATTTGTATCTGGCTCAGAGGGTTTCTTCTGTATCTTCCATGGAGATCCGGCAAGTCAGCAGAAGCCTCCTGCAGGAACC